ATGTATTTACGTGCACATAGGCACTTGTACCTTTGGTTTCTATGAATTTGGCCACGTTTGCATCCTGCGACGTGCTCAGCAGGCAGTTGGTGGGACGCCGGTCCTCCAGTACTGTAAGATTGTCCAAAATTGATAACCTTAGTCTACTAAGTGCGTAATTAGTTATTGTGTCCGTGTTAATGTACTCGCAATGTAGAGTACCTGAGATCAAACCATCAGAGACCTCGCATTTATTTTACTATTTGCGTATTGATAGCGGACTTCTTGAGACTCACAGATACAGAAGTGTGTGCTGAGTATAATGGTGGTTCAATCACAACCAGGATCGCGAACTTTACTACGTGACTCTTCACAGTGAACTTTTTGAGACATGCTGAGGCATTGTCTATACCGAGTAAGATGGTGTTGCAAAATTAATCGGTAATAGCGAACTTAAGGAATGGTTAGTCTACGGACTGCATTTTGCCAACTGATCACATTCGTATCTCTGAGTGAAACAATGACAAACTCGCAAGTCGCGGTGAAAGCATCATTGCGGCAAAGTATGTTAACAGTAGAGTAGTACCGATAACTGGCTTCGTTCGTGTGTCTGTCTAGTTGGTAGTAACTATCGGCAAACATTTGTGGCCAATGTTGTACCTTGCCAAAATTTTGAGTGCATGCTTACTCGTTACAATAATACGAATGGATGAGTGCAAGCAAAACTTTGTCTGTGTGTGTATATGTTGGTCTAGATATATTTCATATATACGTCTATACTTTTCTCACAGATTTTGATTAATCTCAAACAGCAGTGGTTTGCACTGTACCGATTCATCAGCATTTGCCCCTAGTTCTAGTATAGATTCGTGAGGATCTACACCATAGCATCGGGTGCTTGGTCAACTACTGGTAGCGAATAGAACCTTATGGAGTGCCTTGTCACTTTCAATACGCGTGCATATGTTGGGCCCTAGTATATCTGACACGTCAGTAGTAGACAGTCATAAGTTCAGCAATTATATTACTTACGTATCAAAGTGTAGGGTGTACAATTGTACTTTCAATTTAAATTAGTACTTCTAGCGACGTACATGATCAGAATTGTCATTCGTTGTTAAATTGTATTTTAAAAGTGTATATTATCAGCAACGTATGATATTGTAAATACCTTTAGCCAGCATTGCAAAGGCGGGGGTATGCTCGACAACATCCAACATGATAGAGAGTATGCAGGACTCATCACTGTAGACGGCTAGACCGAGTTTGTTTTTCTTCCAGCAAACAGAGAGGATTACCTGCAACAAACATAGAGTAAACATGTAGACAGAGATGGGGGATGCTTTTACTAAGAAGCCTAGTTTGGTAACGCTGTATCAATCGAAAAAATCCTATGTAACTTCATAAAGAAGAATATACATCGTGTAAGCGATTACGGTCTCACGGCCTGTACTACTGCTCGGACCTTAAGGACCCAAAGCAAACGAATAGAATCGCCTGAATTCGTCATATATAGGACAATCAAACGTAAACGATAGAGAAAGTTGTATTCTAATGGGTAAAAATTTCAAACTTCCAGCGAATAGCAAACTTTATCTGTCTGCGCCACGTTAAAGTGGACATGTACACACATATGAAAGCACTCAGGTAATAAAATGGTGGGAAATCTGCAATGGACACCAGGAGTTCACAGAGTTATTTGCGATACAGTTCTCTGGAAAATTTGCAATAGTTGAGTTGTGCTCGTCGCGCAACTATGTCCAGAAGAATAGTCGAGGTTTCGACGTTCAAATCGACCAAATCTACCGTCTCATTGTACGTGAAACTAGTGCCTTAACCTATTAATTACTGATATGCATGCGTTCAGTGAAAGCTGAATGCACAGTCTGATACACTCAGCGTCTTTAGACACTTCTGTTATTCGCCATGCTATCGAAGAATATGAAGCTTGGCGTTGCGCACGACTCAGCTTTATACCAAAGCAATGGTAACAAAAAGGCGATACATCCTCATAGGCGCTCCAAACAGTCCAGTGCCCGGTTCCTTTTCAAATGGTAGCATAGCGGCACACGACACGAGCCGTTTATGCATCTATCGCTGACTAAAATTCAACGGACCATTTTGATCATTGTATACAGGCTTCAGATGAGCGTGTGTAACACGTAAGCACGGTGCACTTTTCTCTCTTCGATGTATATGGGACATGGATGTGAATCTTAGCGCTCTAGCGTGCATCCCCAAGAATGAGGAGGATAAGAGGCGTGTTGGACAACACCAAAACCGTGTACATCAGCAGCAGCGATAGTGCAAAATTAGAATGTCACTACATACAGCAGTATGTCACACAAAGCAGTCTGAAAATGCGAGAAAGGCGACGGGACACGCATGGGATGTTGTTAATCACGGCCGCATATAAATGACGACAGGAAAAAAACGCGAGTGATGTCTATATAGCGAGTATTCGTGAGATTTATTCAATCGAAGGCAAATACGGTGAAAACTTGATCGCAAGCGAGTTTTGTCATGATTTAGAACGTTCATATCGACCGGTGATAATTGAAGGACTAGTCAACAAACATTAGAAACCACTGAAAGGTACTATACCAATTCGGTCTCATCATCATTTAGTTCCGCAGCACCTGTGACAGAGGTCTCAGCAGACAATGATCTCACGAGACGTCCAGCAACATGCTTTTGATGCGTAGGCATGCTTTGCTCAGTGCATGAGCTTGCATAGATTCCTTGCTCCTCCATATCGCAGAGCACAAAATAGCTCGTAGGCTGTAAGTTGGTGTGATAGCAATACATGGGTTCAGTAGAACTAGATTCGATTCGTTGAATTGCTCATCTCTCAGTTTATGTCGAATGCTCTGGTTCAGATTAGATGTAAGTCAATATAGGCTAAATTCGTTGTATATATAATTACAGAGACTGTCCAATATCCAGCTTCAGCTGTTGAATCGACCATAAGCTGTTCAACATCCTACTTCAGTTGTTGACTCGGCCATAAATACGCGTTAGATCAACAAAAGCTGCAAGAAAACACCAGCCGCACCAAACAGAAACAACAACTACATGTTATACGTTTAATCAGTCATGATAGATACAGCTATAAAGCTTTAAAATTAGACAGTATTTGATTATACAAGATGTGTATGTTTGAACTGAAACACTGTACATTTCGAGCAAATGAGAAATGGCAGAGTTCAGAGACGTTACAAAATATAACACTCCCACCTTCGTTTACACATGAGGCAAGTACACATGCAGCGATACATAATCAGACCTCGATTCTGACTACGCATAATGGACTGCTGGATAGCCCAGACTATGGACAGAGAGCAACCAAAAACTACTTACTATGCACATAACTACAGGTACAACTAGACATGCATTACACAAACAGCCAAATATATTTATATACAATGATCTGCATGTTTGTTTACACATACAGCTAAACGTATTTAGTAGATCGACGTAACAGTCGGATTTGAGCTGGTTAAATGCAGCATCGCAACGACTTTAACTTAGCATTTGGGCATGATAAACTCATTCGCAGCATAGCACTAAAGACGAGGCATTAGCTAACATCCATTAAGCGCGCAATATGACTAGCGTGTACTTATAATGTCTATCTACTAAGCTTTTACTAACGTGTGCACACGTTTAGAGTTACAATCGTTTACTTGTGCAATGCGTAGTCTACTATCGTGTGCGTTATTATTACTCACATACATATTCATTACATACAATACTTCAATTTGGTCTACTTGTTGTACGGCAGGTTTCCTCAACAGCGCTTCATTTTTAACAACCAATAGAAAATCCTTTTAAGAAACGCTTGATCATTGGTCCATAAAAGTGATGTCAGAATAACATTCTGTTTTCATACTGTCGTTGAATAAATAATAATGCTGTGGGATTCTGGATTTTATGTACTGGGGTTTTCAGGTTTTTATGAAGATGTAGGGCGGAGTGGTTTCGATGCCCTGTCTTGACTGGATAGGACCGGGCTGGTGATCCTAGAGGACATCGTTTGTCCACAAACATTAGCCTTCTTGTTCTCTTTTATAGATGGGTATGTGCGTCATAGCTTGTTTTTGTCTAAATATGAAAGGGATTATGTTGAATTGTGATTGACTGTTCATATCATTTGTTATCTGATAGCTGATTTTGACCAATCAAATATTTATATAGTTGCATCGTCTCTTGCTTGAATCTTACTCTTTTGCCCGAGGCTTTTCGACGAAGACGTTGGCGGGCGATATTGTTACTTCCATACTATCGATGTTTTTTTTGTCTAATTTAATAGGAGGCTATGTAAATGATTGTTCAGATAAGCTATCTGATAGCTGATGTTGACCAATCAAATACTTAGTTGGATAGTGTCTTGAGTCTTTGACAGAGACTTTTCCACGAAGACGTTGGCGGTTGGTATTGCTAAAACATAATATCGATAGTAGATAATCGGGTGTTCATGTGTATTCGACGAAGACATCGGCGGTGGTTTTGATACTTGTATAATATTGAAAATAGATAATCGTTTGTTCATATTTATTTATGTGGTAACATAACCATTTTTCAACCACAACTACACACGTTAATATAGACTAGACTGTTATTGTCACGTCTTCAGTTTTTACGCGATCGATTCACAGATATTTATGAATATACGTAGTTTTATTATTATTCTCTAACGCCAACATGCAATCCTTTATAGAATTTCTCGAACAGGGCTGGAAGTTGGCCCGAAATTTGAGGCTGCGAATGGACTCTAAGGAGGATGTACGCGAGGAATCCGTTGAGAAGTCGACGGACTCATTGCAGCACGGGAGCCCTGTGTACAGGAACCAAAAATCAAGGCTGGTCAAGCAGCGACCGATCGACACGGTCCTGAAGATAACAAACAACTCGGCCGCCAGGGACAGGCCCCAAACCATGGACGAGGAACGACAGGGACACGCAGCCTACAACTACTGTCACCTGAAAAGCACACGACGGTGGATGGAGGCTTGTCTTCAGGAGGAGCTCCCCGAGACGATCGATATGGAATGAGTCTACCTTGCGCGACTGGCCATAATGTTTGACAGCGACCCTGGCACTCAGCTAGCAAAGATCTACGACAACTCGTTGGAGATATTTGAAGTAAGTCTTCGTGGTTCGATGACTTTGATTGTAGTTAGATATTATATGTAACACTGCCAACATGACAACCAACTTGTCGTCCATGTAACAATAAGTTGTCGATAGTTTACCACGAGAATATATATATATTATACTATATATATATATATATATATATATATATATATATGTGTGTGTGTGTGTGTGTAGTAGTGTGTGTGTATATATA